CAACAATAATTATTAAATAATTAAAGTTTATGATTGTCTTCATACTTCATTTAAAATCGAAAAAAAATAAATTGTTCACACGAAAAAGAGTAAAAATTGAGGAGTAATTATTTATTTTGTTAAAAAATATTTATATTTAATTTGTTAAAAAATATTTACTGATAACTTGGATCAAATTTTATCTGTCAAAACGCTCGATAGACCAGTTAATTCATTATACCAATCATAATATTCTGGAATTAATGATTTATTTCGAAATTGTGCATTCTTTAGGATATGCTTTAGTTATTTCCTTGAATGGAGCACCCGGTTCTTTAGAATTGTCACATGCAAGATAACAAACTTTATCGTTTCGATTATCAATCATCCATTTATCAAAGCTTCTGGATACTTGATTAATGATCTCCTTAAATTTTGTATTCTTTAGGGATGACGATTTCTGGTTTTTCATCATACCATACCTCAAGAAGGGAAGATTCCATTATCCTGTCGTTTTTGCCGATCACGATTAACAATAGACTCAAGTTTTTTAACATATTTATACCAGCTAGTGTGATGAAACTGACCTCTAATGCAATTTGGCATTTTTGAAAGAAGGCATCAAACTCCAATCCATTCAAAAAAGAGGGACAAGATTCGAATATGGGTTCTTCATTAAGAAGTATTTCGGTTATTAAAATACATTTTACAAGTTGAAAATTCCAAGTTTAAAATAATAATGATAATACGTATGTAGATCTTAAATCAGAAGACCTCTGTGACCTATCCCACATTTTTTTGGTGTATCTCGGGTTTGGGTCGAGTACTGAGTGTTGTCGTGACAATAACTTTGTGATTCCATTATAGGGATGTTCGAATATTGACCAAAATGAGACCTTTTTATAAAAGATCAACCCAAGTTTACATCCCATAAAAATGGGTAGCCTTTTGTAATTTTTCTTATATATAACACAGTTAGTTATCCTGGATACACACCTTGACCCTTTAATCTCTTAGATTGTCTCATCTGATATCTCACATTAGTATTATAATATTCTTTGTGAATACAACCTTACCTACCTTACTATACACCGAAATAAAGCCTTCTTTATTTTATATATATTACTGTTTTAGCTTCATCTATATAATTCGAACACTACTCCAATGTACTATCAAAGACTTTGCGAAAAGGCATGTGAGAATGAAATAAAATTATTAGATTTCGATATCGACATTGATAAAGCAATTAAATTTTGATGAGGTCTTTATTTTTATATATCTATGTATATATTACTGAAGTTATATATATTCTATTCAGATGAAATCTTCCTCATTTTTTTTTATATATCATATTTTTCACGTACGTAAAATAGTTGCAATTTGATTTTTGATTTACGAAAATTAATGCTAAGTTGAAGCGATTGATACTATCTCTTTATAATTAATTTTAATTAATTAATATAATTATATAATTACTTTCTAATTGGTAAGATATATAGACGAATTTAGTCACATTTTACATTATGATAAAATTATCATCTTCAAATGGAAAAATAAACCTTTTATTTGTTTTCATATAACCTTCTTTATTTTATCCCAAGTTAAAGGATTAAATCCTTCAACTTTAGTGACCACATTGTATTAGCATGCCCTGGACAAAGATCCCAAAACGTTTTTGGAGCAAATCCATCCAATCGGTTTTTTATATTAAATGTTTAAATGCATGTGCATCCAACCGTAGAATAATTTTGGATCGTGCATACGTACATTGTAAAAACTTCGCGTTATTAAAGTGCGAGTAGAGTAGTATCACATACAAAATCTACATACTAAATTTATCAATTATCAAATTTATTGATCACATCTTGAGCAGTAAATGATATTAAAGCGAACTCTCGAGAATGACGTCTAAATGAATAATACTTTAATTTGGTTCCTGCTCCCCAAGATCTTATTAATTACTTTCCTTAAAGGGTCCAGTATCTAGAAAATTTTGATCTTACATTTCGTATTTTTTCACGTTTTCATTAAACGTCTCCTTGAAACAATAAAAATTTATTATAAATATAATTCTTAACCTCTAAAACAAATAATGCGAGGTATTTACTGTAACTTCAGTTATTATAAATATATAAGCCTCTAAAAATTATTTTAAATATTTCAAAATTATAATTACGTATGTGCGTATCATTAAAAAAATTTTATTTAATGTAAAGATAATACATTTACAGTATATATATATATTAAATAAATATGTTTTGGATTTTTCAATATTAAATATTTCATATTATCTCTATTATCCAAATATCATAATAGACTTTGTTGAATATTTAAAATTTGGATAAGTGAAGATTATTCGAATGAAGATATATACTGTATATTCAACTCTATTTCCTCCTAAGATGATTTCGAAATTATATTACAATGAAGCAACAAAATTCATAGAATCACTTTAACAACAAAGGTTATATGACATTTTTATCCCATGGCCCCTAATTAATCACCATAATTTTTTATTGATATTTTCACGTTTAATTTGTAACTCTAAAATTTTTATTTTGCTAAAAATAAATACATCGATTTGCTGAAAAGTCTACTGAGATTTTGCAGTCATGGGTGTGATATGACCGAATTATTTCACGTATCACCTAGTATATTTACCAGATTATCAGAAATGTATTACAGTTTATTACGTATGTAATCATGTAATTCAAGGTGATCTCTAATTGGTTGAACTTTAAGTTATTAAGAAATTACGAAAAATGTGAAAATAATAATAAATAATTTAGTAATTTATTAGTTAATTAATTTATTGATGGATTATTAGTTTTAATTTTATTATTAACAGGCATCATTAATGATAAATGTGTAGCTGCTTGAATAATATCCTGAGTAATAATATCACATCGCTCTTTCATAAGATTATCGGACTGGTGCCAACAAAATACTTTGTAGTAATATAATTTAAATAAACTATTAATGTACGCATCTCGGTATTTAAGAAATTTCCTGCTGAACAATTATCTATCGTTTATCCCTTAAACGGTAGTGACGTCACAAGTTACTAATAAACGTGGGCAAATTTGCCCGCAATTCACATGATTTACCGTTTAAGGGATAATTTGAATATAAAAAAATCAATGACGTATTCTTTATTTTCCATGTCTCAAGAAAAGAAGAAATAATATAATATCCAGCTGGTCATTCTTCCAATGATTTTTATAATAGGCGCAATAATTTCATTAGTATCATTATGGAATTGTAATTTTTGTACTACAAAACATTTATTTCAAGGGTACGAAACTTGGTCTAGTGAGAATGTTGAAATTGATATGATCAAATATTAATAATATTATAATTTTTATCTTTTTTGTAACATCAATTTTAATTATATTTTTATTATTAAAGAAAATTATTTAATATTTTAAATCAATAATTATCTATATTAATAATTTTCAAGTTTAAATATTACAATTTATGATATAAACTTGCTAAAAAAAGCGAAATAGTATGATTTTCCTTTTACGATCATAAGGATAACATGTCATGTTTATTTATTATTTTATTTATTTACACTTTTTGATTATGAATTAGTAGGTAAGAGCAACATCTCATCTACTTTTAACTGTTAAATGCATTCGAGGTAAGTTTTTGTGTGATTTTGCTTTTTATTTTTTTCATTTAGCCCATGAAGAAAATGGATGAAATACGTAAAGACAAATAAATATGGTTTCTCTAAGAAAAGTAAATTTTTAACAATCTTTGAATTATTTTATAACAAATTTATTTTATAAAAAACTTGATGTAATTATTTCGACAATATTTTATGACAGGTTTTACAATATTATAACGGTATTCCATAGAATCAACGAAACATGTCATGTTGTGTGGTATTACTTTGTGTTACTCCTATATTTAAAATACACAGTACTGCCTATAATTTGAGCAAAAAAAAAAAAGATCCAATAACGCATATTTCATTATTTTCCATGTCTCAGGAAAAAGACGAAATAATATATTGTCCAGCTGGTCATTTTTCCAATGATACTTTTTAATGATTGCAAGAATGACATTGACTTCTTTTATGGCGAGTGTGAATTGTGCATTAAAGAACAATCATTTAAGAGTTCGAAACTTGGTCTAGTGTGAATGTTGAAATTGATAAGGTTGTACAAGAATTTTTTTTCAAAGAAATTATCAAGGATATTATGGATATCAGTTACATTGGATACCTTATGACAACTTTCGGGGTTTCAAACACTTAACAGATGGTGGATATGGATCTGTGTATTCTGCTATACTAAAAAATGGAATTGAGGTTTGGAAATATTATTATGTTGGTAAAAAAGTTTTGAAAGAAATCAATGATTCTAGATATGATATATCTGGATTTCTTAAAAGAGGTATGTATACTTATATGATTAATTATTATTAAGACAATTCTATAATCTTTATTTATGTAATTAATTTAATTATTTCATTATATTTAGATTCAGAGTATACAAATTGTCAAACAACAGAGTTGCATTACAAGATGTATAGGAATTTCAAAAAATCCTTTTACACAGAACTATATTATTGTTATGGATTTATATGATAACAGCTTACATAAATTTTTAACAAAGAATTTTGGAAATTTAAGGTCGAAACCAAAAATAGGATTACTATGTAACATAACAACTGGTATTAATTGCTTACATGTGAAAAACTTAGTTCATCGTGACAGAAATATTTTGATAAGAAATAATTCAAATTCATATGATGCATCAATTACGGACTTGGTTTATGTAGATTAGAAAATGGTCTAATATTAAAATCTGATAATAAAAGTAATAATATTTATGGATCAATTTCACATATACCACCTGAAGTTTTACGAGGTAATTCATTCACAAAAAAGGGAGTTATTTATAGTTTTGGTATAATTATGTATGGAATGGCAACTGGAAAACAACCGTTTTATGATCGAGCACACGATACCCGTTTAATAATTGATAATGGAATAAAGCCAAAAATTCCTGATGCTATGTTAGATTGGATTCCAAAAATTATATTCGGACCTTGATCCTTCTAATTGACAAACTGCTGATAAATTTTATGATTTATATGAAAAAATATATCAACAATTTCAGATTGTAGATGAGAATCAAGAAAAAGCAATCAAATCTCAAAGACACGAATCATTCCTATCTTCAAGTATATCTCATCTACAATCTTGTTATATTAGCCGAAGCATTCATACTCTTCATGGATTGTATAATTCATTAGAAGATATAAAATTTGGAAAATCTCAAGGTAATGTTTTATCATGATTTTAATTATTTTATTTTAATAAATAATTAATTATCAAAATTTAAATTTATAGATCCTAATTTATTAAAGTCTAATGAATCAACTGCTTCAAGCGTCAGTACTTATGATATTGATTCTAAAGAATCACAAGAATGCATTGATTAGGAAAAAGAAATTCAAAATCATGATATCTCAACTTTAGATTGTAATTTTCGAGAACCCAAAGAATGCATTAATTTTGATTAAAGAAAATAATACTACATTTAAGAAATTTTTTAAAAAAAGATTAAATAAGATCGTCATTTATTTTATTTATTTTTGTGCATTTTATACTTTTTTTTTTTAAAAAAAAAAAATATACACATTTTTATTTTGTTTTTAGAGTCGATTCTTCTAAAATAAATTTTATTCTTGCTCTATGGAAGTTTCATTTATAATAAGAATCAAGTTTAAATGTTACAATTTCAAGATTCATATCAGGTGCAAACTCAATTTCCTTTTTGAATGTCACTCCGCGAAAATAATTTGTAATTTCACTTAACTGTCCGGAAATTCATTTAACCAGAATTTTCTCAAATTACTAATTGATTTGCTTATTACTAATTTATTTGTTTACTTCTATCACATAAAAACCTGTTCTGTTTATTATTGATTGTTATTTGCTTGAAATTTGAGAAAATTCTTGTGTAAACAATATTGTTTGTTTATATAAAGACATTCTAGAAATTTATCAACAATCATGTCATGTGGTAGTACTTAAATATTGGAGTTGGAAGTAGCGCGTATAAATAATTTGAACAAAAAAAAAAATTCAATAACGTATATTTCCATGCCTCATGAAAAGGAAATAGTCTATTGCCCAGCTGGTCATTCTTACAATAATAATAATAATAACAAAAATTACATTGAGATCTCTTCTGGAATTTGTGAATTATGTATTAAAAAACATTTTATTCGTGAGTTCGAAACTTGGTCTAGTGGGAATTTTGAAATTGACAAGGTCATCCGAGAATATCAAATAAGTTATCAAAAATATTATAATTATAGACTACAATGGATACCATATGATAATTTTCAAAATATCAAGCACATAGCAGATGGTGGATATGGATCTGTATATTCCGCTAAATTAAAAAATGGCATTAAAAAGTATTGGAATTTTAATAAACAAGATTGGAAGTGGGATTTTGAAGACCATAAAGTTGCCTTGAAAGAAATAACCGATTCCAGACACGATATATCTAAATTTCTTAAAGAGGTATGATTCTTTATATTATATTAATATTGTGAACTTTTATCATTGAAAATATTCTACATTAATTTATATTTAGATTCGGAATATACAAATTGTCAAAAAAGAATATTTCATTATTAGCTGTTTTGGAATTTCAAAAAGTCCCTTGAGCCAAGACTACATTATTGTTATGGAATTACATGATGATAGCTTACATAAATTTGTAACAAAAAGTTTTTTAAATTTAGAGTGGAAACCAAAAATAAATTTACTATATAATATAGCAATTGGTCTTGATTACTTACATATAAAAAATTTAGTTCATCGTGACTTACATAGTGGAAATATTTTGATAAAACGTTATTCATGTAATGCATCCATCACGGACTTAGGTTTATGTAGTTTAGAAAATGATTTAATATTAAAATCAGATAACAAAAATAATAATGTCTATGGTTCAATTCCATATATTCCACCTGAAGTATTACGAGGAAATACGTTCACAAAAAAGGGAGATATTTATAGTTTTGGTATAATTATGTATGAAATAGCGACCGGAAAACAACCGTTTTCTGATCGAGCACATGATACCCGTTTAATAATTGACATATGCAAAGGTATTAGACCAAGAATTCCTAAAATTATGCTAGATTGGATACCAAAGTGGTATTCAGATTTGATGTATCAATGTTGGAGTGGTGATCCTTCTAATCGACCAACTGCTAAAGAATTATTTGATGCATTTGATGAATTAGTTGTATTACGGGAAAATATATTTGAAAGTGAGAAATTTTATATAGATAATGATATTCTACGACAATTTATAATTGCAGATGAAAATCAATTCGAATTTCAAAGACAAAAATTATTTCTATCTTCAAGTACGTCTCATCCGCAATCTTGTTACATTAGCCGAAATATTCACACTCTTCACGGATTGCAAAGTACATTAGAAGATATAAAATCTGGAAAATCTCAAGGTATATTTTTTTTATCATGATTTTAATTATTCTATTTTATTAAATGAATAATAATTAAAATTTAAATTTATAGATCCTAATTTATTAAAGTCTAATGAATCAACTGTTTCAAGTGTCAGTACTTATGATATTGATTCTAAAGAATCACTCGAATGCATTAATTGGGAAAAAGAAATTCAAATTATGCAAAAAAACGATCATTCTCAACTTTAGATTGTTATTCCCAAAAGCTATTAATTTGGATAAAGATACGTATATTATATTAAAGAAACTTAAAAAGGAAACGAGATTTTCATTTATTTTACATATATTTAAAAGCTAAAACAAAATCATTATAAACCACAAAAAAATTACTGAGAACTTTATTTTTTCATATTTAAATATTACAATCTAACGACTCATGTCAGGCGTCCTCGACGTATTTATATACTGATAAAGATGGTATGTGGATATATTGCTTATTGATGTGTTAAAAAGATCGAGTCAGTCATGGTTGGAATAACTGATACTGAATTGCAAGTTAGAAATTCCAAGTTTTTAATAATAATTTTAATTATTATATATCGTGGTTCATTGAATGCATAATATGTGATCTCGATGTCCACGAATTTCTCCATCACAAAATTTTGAAGGAAATCGAGGATTTACTTTATATTCTGATATAAGGTTATAATTATTATATTATCTTTCCAATTTAATCTATTATCATTATTATTTATTATCATCATTATTATTAGTATATTATAGAATCCATTGTAATCATGTATCATTATTTTAAAAATGCGAAGAATAAAATTATATAAGAAAAAACAATAATATTTTCATTTTGTTTACATCGAGGAGATTTTTGATGGTGGCAGATAGAATTAGAAAGGGAATTATAACCACAAACCAATGATATACGAAATTTCTTTTACATGTCTCAAGAAAAAGAAGAAATAGTGTATTGTCCATCTGGTCACTCTTCCATTGATATTCATAATAAGCGCAAAAATTATATTAGAATAAGTATTGAATATTGTGATTTAAAAACATTTTAGTTGAGAGTTTGGAACTTAATCTGGTTGAAGTATTGTTAAAATTGATAAGGTTAATATATAATGTGTATAAGTTACAATGGATACCTGACAGCTTTCGATATATCAAACACTTAGTAGAAGTACTATGAGGTAAACGCGCTTTCCTATTGATTAGATAAAAAATCTTTTCTATTGCTCAACGGCACGGGAATTTGCTAGTTGATAATTCAATGATTTATGTTTTCAAAGATGTATTGAAGTATTAAAGATTTCAATAAACAAAATCTTTCAAAAAAAGTAACATATTTTAAAAATTCATTTTTTTTTATATAAATTAAATTAATTAAATTTTCACGAGACAAAGTGCTTGCCCCTAAACTAGATCTCTTGTTAAATAACAGTTTAGAATTCATATAAATGATCATATTATAATTCATTTGTATATCATATTTTTATATAGGAAATATAATATATTGAATTTTTAATATTTATTTAAAAATTATTTATTTTCCTATATATTTTTCGTATAATCTTTTTACAGCATCATAAATGTCAAAGCTTTTAGAATATATATTTCATTTGAAAAAAAAACTTAAACGAAATATATTAAGTTACAAAGTTCTAAGACACTTCATTCTGCAGAGTGTAATTCAGCAGAAATGGAATATATGCAATATAATGAAATTCAATCAAAAAAAAAATGAAGAGAATGTGGAAATATTTATAAGCGATATAACCTAAGTCATATTATTATCGAGATTGGATTGGAATAATAAAAGATGAAGAGAAAGCATTTCAATGGTACCTAGAATTGCTGAAGATGTACAAAATAGACTTGGTTATTGTTATAGGAACGGAATTGGAACAATAAGAGATGGAGGGAAAGCATTTCAATGGTACATGAAATCAGCTGAAGGTTGAAATAAATATAGTTAGAGGTTAGATTAATATTTGATCAATATGAAATTGGAATCTTAAAAATTAAGAAAATGAAAATGAGTTATATTGAAGTTGCTGTTAGACATTTTAATAATCATTTTTGCAGCATCTGTTGGAAAGAAGCTGGTTGTAATAAAATCTACATTAAGTATTATCAAAATTTCATGATTGTGGAAATTTAAATATGTACAAAAACATATGTCAAAATTGTAAACTTATTAAAATAAGCCATTTGTCAAAATGGTAGTTATAAAATTTACAAGATTATTCACATGACCCAATTAGATGAAAATGCAAAGGAATGGAATTGTTCTCTGAATTTTTCAATGTAATCTTTACATGATATTTATTATGCTAATAAAATTTGAATTTAATTAACAAAAACAATTACAAGGATGACTAATCATAAATATAATCATTTAAGGTCTGGCTAATAACTTGTCTTTATGAATCATATTTTTTTTATCTATTAATGAAGGTTTATATAGAGTTTTACAATTGATGAAGACATCGGCTAGATGTGTATACTTGTTAAAATTATAAAAAAAATAAAAGGCCATAGCTCAAATTGGCAGAAATCACAAAAAAATCATGGATATAGTGAAGCTTCTATAAATACATGCTCTAACTTGGCACAAGCAAATAGTGAACTTATAAAAATTTCCCGCTATAATTCATTCCCTCTATGAATACACGCTAATGCTGGCCTCCAGAGGGTGAATTTATAGAGAGCCACTGTATATATAAATTATTAAGATTTCATAACTTCTAATCAATAAAAGTCTCATTAATACATTGTATACACCGACAGTTGAATTTTAACAAAATTTATCTTCACCACAATCAATCTATAATATGATACCTTGTTATCATATATAATATTACAACTTCACCATGATCATAACGCTAATGGAAGTTGATGTATAATTATAAATTGCGATACAATCAACGGAAATTAAAATTCACCATGAACAAAAGAGAAATGAAACGATTGATTCACGAAAACGAATTCCACCATTGAAATTTAAAAATCAAAAAAATTAAGTGTATATTATACACCAAGAATCTCTAACTCACTGAGCGGCTATTGTTCACAAAACCTTATTTTATGCCATCTGTGCATTTGCCTCCTGAACATATTTTGCCGTTCACTGTGTTCCAGAGTTTGAAGTTGGTGATCTCTTCATTACGTTACGAGGGTCTTTATTCTTGTTTTTCCCGATGCACATGGCTTAAACTGCTGTAAAGTTTGTCTCATTCCTCTCTGGAAAAATCACGGACGTAATGTACAAGTCAAAGTCATAGCTTTACACCGGATGCACGATATAAAAAATCCATTCTGTGGTTGTTCATCCGGTCCAGCCCCTCTTTAATTGTGTCTCCTACTTTTCGATATATTTGTGCCAGTCTTCACTGACTTCTGAAATCATGTCCCGTCCAATTATTTTTTTATTATTTGTAAATCACCATCTACTTTGATTTTTTTTTAGCAACTCTTCTGGTTGTTCTCTACTAAGATAGAAAGAAAGGCCTTATTCTTGGCTACAAAATAATATGTGTCTGGTATTAGTAGCACTGATATTCGCGGAGTTATTCTAGTTTAAAGAAAAGCATCCGCGAAAAAATCGTGCAAAAAATTTTTCAGAGATTTTTGCACGATTTTTTTACGGACGTTTTTCTTTAAACGCGAATAACTTCGCGAATATTCGTTTCAACGGGATAAAACGTATATAATTTTGTAGCCACGAACAAGGCCTTTCTTTCTATCTTAGAAACATCTTAGCAGAAAAATCACTCTACGTTTCACAAATCACGAGCGAAGTCAAAAAAAGTAAAAAAAATGCAAAATTTCTAGAGATTTTCACTTTTTGAATTCGCTTGCGATTTGTGAAATGTAGAGCGATTTTCTACTAAGATATTTCTAAGATATAAAGAAAGGCCTTGTTCTTGGTTATAAAATGATATGTGTTTATTCCAGTAACACCAATATTCACAATCATACTAAAAATCCCTAAAAAATTTTTTGCAGGATTTTTCACGGACGTTTTTCTTTAAACTAGAATAACTCCACGAATATCGATGCTACTAAGATGAAACACATATCATTTTGTAGTCAGGAATGTGTACTTTCTTTCTATCTTAGAAATTTCTAAGTAGAAAATCGCTATACGCTTTATAAATTACGAATGAAGTCGAAAAACGTAAAAATCCTTCGTTAGAAACAAAAATCCTCACATCTTAAAATTTCCTGATGATAAAATGAAAGTAAATTATATAAATAATTCATATATGCATTGTCAAAATCAACTTATGCTTTTATACTTACTATTTGGATTGAATTCTGATATTTATTTATATAACAATTGAGAGATAAGTTTTGCATCACAATATTCATCACTACCTCAAATACCCTCTATATAATTTATATTTTTTTTTATGATTTTTATTACATATAGGGTAGGATATAGAACTGTTAAAATTGAAGTAATCATTCTTTTTAAAACTATGTTTCAGATTTAAATAAGGAAATCGTTCTAATACCATTTCAATAACATATTGTTGCCTTTTTTTTGGGGTCTTTAGATAGAACTGAAATCATTTAGATGGTATAAATTAAATATTTACCTGTGGTACAAATAAAGTCTTTTCCTCAAAAGGGTTGAAGTTCTGGCTAAATATCTGTGTGAATTGAGTATGGATTTTTTACCATTCTTCCATAAGATTATTGAGCCATGCAATACTTAAACCACTCTTTAGTATACTGTGACATAATAATTCTTTGCCAACTAGTCTTTCCCGATCTGTTAAAAATTTGTAATATTTTCTAGTATCTTCATTCCTTTCTAATCCTCCATGATAAAGGCATATATCTCTTTCCAAATCAGCACGAAAGCAATCCATGGTCCACCTATTTTTCTCAGCCTCTGTAATAACTGAAAATTTCTCAAGATATATTTCATGTTCTATGGCATATTGATAAATTTTATTTGGATTAGAGCTAGGAATTGGTGATTGAGTTTTGTTTGATATACTTATTTAAATTTCCAGTAAGCTCTCTATAGAAATTATAACTTTCTTTTGGTCAATATGAAAGGGACAATTAAGAAAATAGTGATCATTTTTACCTAGACGGCTCTAGTCATCCTATATACAGTACCTAAATGTGTATATACCTCTTTGCATATAGGGCATTTAGCTTCTAAATCAGAATACTTAAATATATCTCGATGCCATGCATTCAAATTAGTGTAAGACAGGAAAGGGAAGTGTTTATGTACTGTTTTATGGATTACATTTTTCTCTTCTGGAAACTTGAAAATTTTGATGATACAGTCTCATGAAAGATGGTTGCCAGCATCCTCTTTGATTTGTTTAGATTTGGATGTTTCAAAGTTTATCCAGGAATCAAGCTCAGTTTTATTCTTATATCTATTATAGAAACTAGAATGAGTTTTATCTAACAAAATGCTTGATAATTCTAATTTGACTTTCCACTTCAAATATTTGGGAGTTAATGTTTTATGACTTGTAGAATCACCTCTAAAGTGTCTGGTATTTGTTTGTGTATCCATGTTCCCATTTTATATGATTCTATCCCTTTAAATTAACAGCAGGAATAATCAACAAAAAATAATTTACATCAGAGAAACTTTAAAAACTTAAGTGAATTATATTAGCATAAGATAGTAGAGCTAGTGTCATTGACACTTAAGGTTTATGTTGTTATCTCGATTTTAATTTCATGCTATTTACATTTAATAAAATAAGATCCATTTTTTATCTGTCTTCTATACCTTTATCCTCATAATGATCTGACTTGCATAGTGGGCATAAAGATTCATTCGTAATCCCATAATAATTATTGTTTCAATCTCTACCTTTACAATATAAATCAGGATATTGTTCTTCCATTTTATTACAGAAAATGAACATGGTTATGAGCTGGATTGAATGGTGTACTTATCTTGGTCTCCAGTAAAGATTTATCTTTTTTACCTAAAAATTTGTCTAGGATTCTAAATTAGAATCTGAAAAGCTATCAATTATAGTTACAGTTTCTGAAAATTTGTTACTTTTATTTACTATATCTCCCAAATTAGAAGTATAATATGATTTAATGGAGGGAGTAGCTGTAATACTTACCTCAGTTTCCAGTAAAAATTTAGATGCAGATGCATCTTTCTTTTGGAAGACTTTATCATTTATCTTATCTTATGAATTAGAAATGTGAAACAATGAAATAGAGGGAATGGTAGGAACATATATATCTGATGAAGTTTCTTTACCTGACTCAGTAGGAATACTTATCTCATTATCTAATATGTCATTCAAGCTAGAGTTGGACATGTTAAAGTGTGAATTTTTTTCACAGAGTAAGAAATTAGTATCACATTTTTCTGTAAAATGACTTACCTCATACATGATTATATCAATTTGTGCATCAGTTAATTTTGAAAGTTTATTTGCGCTATAAGTCTTTTCAATTGTAAATTATTTTTACTATGATAGGTTATAAAATAAAAGTATATAGTTGAAAAATACAAATCAATCCTTACACTCATCACAAAGAATCATCTCAACTTCTATCACTTCTTTTATCAAAAATTTCACCACCACAAAAAAAAATCTTGAAGAAATAATAAAAGTACAAAGTTGCAAAATACAAACCAATCCCTTTCATCACAAAGAATTATCACAACTTCCATCACTTCTTTTATCAGAAATTTCACCATCACAAAAAAGAATCTTAGAGGAATAAAAAATAATGATAAATAAACATACCATTCTATTTCTCACTTCATAAACACTTATATTCTTTATTAAATATATTTTTATTTTAATAATCATTTTAATAAATCAATAATATCTGCAAAGGAAATGTTTTCTTTTAAGGCTTTAGTACTTTTTCAAATCATTGGAAACTCTCAATATCTTTCTTGTGACTTAGTGAAAGCTTGACATAATATATTTTCCAAATAAAAAATAAAAAAAAAATAAAAATTAAAAATTAAAAAATAAAAATATAAATTAAAAGTTAAAAATTAAAAAAATAAAAAATTAAAATTAAAAATTAATAAAAATAAAATAAAAAATAAAAATAAAAATAAAAAACAAAAAATAAAAATATGAAATATTATAAAGATAAAAGACAATAAATTATCAAATTAATTAATTAACTAACTAACTAACTTAACTACAAAATCAATAGATAAATAACAAAATTAAATAACAAAATTCATTATCTAAATTTATCAATTGGTTAATTCATAAGTTTTTCTAATAATTTCCAATAATTGATCATTTTATTAAAAACTCTTTAAATCAATTAATTAAAATAATTAAAAAATAATTAAAAATAATTAAGAATAAGAATTAATAAATTCAGATATATTCAAATAAATAGTCAATAAAATCATATTATTCCATACAACATCATACCACACTCATTCCTCACTCTCACCCACACATACACTATCTATTTTTCACCTTGAAAGTGAAGCAATACATCACACATTCATAACAATAAGAAATATTAAATTAATCTTGATCAAATAATATAAATATATAATATATAAATATATATAATTACCATATAATTGACCGAAATTCACAATTTTATTTTATCAATTGATAATCTTTTCTCCCTCCTCCTCAATCAAATTTGTTGTTAAGAAAATTATCATTGATATTATTATTCTCATCACATCATTCTCACCAATAATCCTAATTAAATTATGATTAATGCTAATAGAATCCAATATCAAAATTAAATCTCTAAAATTTTTACATCTTAAATACATTTCTATCATATTTCATATGAAAAGATTTCTTTATCTTCCGATGATGATGAAGATCGTTCATCACACAAATCAAATTCAACTGATAAATCAAGAGTTGACTTGATGCCATATTCATTTATCGATTCATTACATCGATTAATTGTTCCTCTATGAATATATACATTTTAGAAATATTAATATAATTATACTCTAAAATACTTCGATTAACATTATCATCACTAAATACAGGGATAAATGCAATGCTTACGATGATATTGTGACACAAGACATAATTTATGGCGTGATGTTATGCCTGTTTAACTAGAAATATAATTAAGGAATTGTACGCATAAATACTACTTTTTAAAAAAGTATAAAAATTTATTGATGCACAAATTTATTTATTTTTAATTTTTTAATTAAAAAAAAACTTCCATCCTACGTACTATAAGCGAACAGAAAATGTCTTATATTTGCCAAGAATGCAATGAAAAATATTACTATAGGTGGTGCAAACTGTGCATCTCAAAACATTTTAAAAATGATTTTAATAAATGGACAAGCGGAAATGATGCAATCGATAAACTTATTCAAGATAATCAACTAAATGCTGATTGGCGTAATATAATAGAATGGATATCTTATAATAGATTTCAAGACATTAAACAAATAGCAAAAGGTGGTTATGGTACTATTTATTATGCTAAGTGGATTAATGGACGTATTTATAATTGGGATATTAAAAATCAACAATGGAAAAGAGATGGTCAATGGGAAGTAGCGTTAAAAAAGTTTGATGGTATTGTAGATATAAATGATGATTTTTTAAATGAGGTAAAAGTAATATTTTAAATTTA